TATACCTCTGTCTGCCTCAGCTGTCCTCACTCCCCCTTTCTCAGCCTCTTTATAAACTCATCACCCCCCAGACCAGTCTCCTGTCCTTCTACAACTTTATTTAGAATGTGGGATGATGCAAACCCATCTTTGTAAATCTGAGCTTCATTGTTTTTGCAATGTGTAAACATAATGTAGAGCACCGGTGGCATCTTATCTGCCAAGGTGGGTGTGTATCTGGGTTTTCGCTGCAGCTCCCTAATTAGATTATTAATAAGAGGACTGATTGGCTGAAGAGTCCTCACACCTGGGTTTGAGCAGCTGACCTACAGGTTATCCTAAAACCTGCATAAGCACTGGCCATTTGTGGATAAGATTGCCCACCCCTGTTGTAGAGTTCCACTTCTGTTTTAATGCTGTTTTTTTTCCTCAGACATTAACAAATTTCAATGAGAAGATCAATCGTCTGGTATCAGGAGATGTTGTGAATGAGGAGAACTTGTTTGTCCTCCTGCGGGTTGAGTTTAAAAAGTGGAAAGATCACCTTGATGGCTCCAAAACTGAATGTAAACAAACATTTTTTTTTTTTGCTATTTTTCATGTTATTTTTATGATATTTAATATCACTTTGAAGACTCGTATAATACATTATAGATACCGTCATAATGCATTATAATGCATTCATAAAGTATTATATGTTTATTATGCACCATCTATAATGCACTATAAATACCTATGTATAATGCATCATGATGACTACTTTAAGTACCTGATATTTTTTATAATGTATTACAATATATTCCTGCATTCCTCTTTTCTATTTCTGAATAATACATATATTATTTTGCTTCAGAGTGTACAGTTTGGCATTGTGAAGTTACTTTATAACCTTATTACACAGCATATTGAATATTTGTTTGTTTTCTAACAGTCCACAAAATCATTGAGGAAGTCGTAGATCAATATGACCTTAGACACAGAGGGCGAGAGCTCCCCGGGTTCAGTAATTACTGTGTGTTTGAGACGGCCGTCCAGAAGCTGGTGGTACAACTGAGAAACCCAGCGCTGGAGACTCTGAGGGTCACCAGAGGTATTTTTCATTCCAGCCACCTGTCACCTCACACTAAGGGTTCCCAACGTTTTGATATCTGTGATCTGGTTTACATCGTACCGAAATTTCACTGACCAGCAACATTTGCCAAGGGGTTTTCTTTCATATTGTATTTAATGAACAGTTTATTAAATTTCACATGGCACCAAAATGAGAACAGCACTGCATAGTGAAAGCAAAGACTCAGACACTTCAAGATTCAAGATTTAATTCTGTCACATGCATCAGTGTAGTGGTACAACAGCAATGCAATGAAATTGAGTAGCACAGATCCCACAGTAGCGCTGTTGAGAGTTTTTCGTAGGGCACCAGAATGGGTGTGTGGGTTGTCCAAGTCCTCAGAAATGTTTACTCTGAGGTGTCTGTAGCTATTAACCCTCTCCAACAGGGCACTGAAAATTTTGAGGGGTGTGTATTTCATCTGATGCTCCTTCCATAACTCCAAGACCAACTTTATCTTATTACTGCAATAACTCAAAAGTTATTTGTCTAATTGTTTCCAGACTTTGTTGACAAACTTTTACGGTGAAAATCTGGACCTGTTCAAATTTTGAGACAAATTGCATCTAAACTAAAGCATCAGTGCTTAGTGATATTAAAGAAAAGGGTGATTTAGCCAAGATGCTTTACCTTGTGAACAGGATTTATCTATTTGATATCATTACTCTATTTACTGTATTTGATCTTTGATGGATCATATTACTACTTTACAAAAACAGCATATGGATGAAAATCTACAACTGACAGACCTGAGATAAATCATTCCAAAACTGAATAACCAGCAATAGGTGGCAGCAGAGTGTGAAATGAGGCTGCAGCCATTTGCCATCTCAGCGTATTCTGTGGATCTTTTTGCAAACTTCCCAGGAACGTTGTACAGGTCACAGGTTCTTAAACTGTAGGAAGCAAGATGATTTCTTGAATATTCTAATATGAATTTTTTTTTCTTTCACCAACCCCTCCACCCTCCCGCAAATTTTATTGGTAGTGCTTATACAGTCAGAAGCAGGTGACAGTAATGATTTAACTCAAAGTAAAATCAGGTTCTACTCTATTTGGGACGGGTGACAGCTCTACCCTCAGAGTTCTGCGAAACGACAATACTGGCTGTGGACTGGGAACCTCAACCTTAGACAGTGCATAAGGAAATTGGATTTGAACGATGTGGAGTTGTGACATCTTACCTGGTATCCTGGGTTATTTTATACCTGGGTTACAGCCTTACAGCTTCAATCATTAACATAAAACCTAGCCGATGTGATTAAATTTGCATTTTATTGTGAATTTATGTCTTCTTTTTTTCCCCAGAGATTGTTCAGAAGCAGCTTACTGATGTTGCGAAAAATTGCTTCAGTATTTATCCGTTTCTTCAGTGCGTCTCTTTGGTAATTACATACAATAACAACACCTTTCAACTTTCACACATTGACAGGCACAAGAATCCAACCAACCTAATTCCAAATTAATTCCAAAGTAGGTTTACATTTTTTCTCATTCATCTTAATTTTTTTCTTCTTCCTCTCACAAAATGCACAGAATAAGATTGATAATATCCAGTCGAAGCAGGGGGGAAAGGTAGAAGAGAGGATCATTGAGCAGTTTGACATGGAGGAGCTGGTCTACACCCAAGATGGCATCTACTTCAAAAGTTTGACTGGAAACACTGGTCAAAATGTCTCTGCAGACAATTTTTCTGGCTATGACAGCAGGCTTATGTACCCTGAGATGCTCAAGGCTTACTATGAGGTAGGTGTGATCTGTCTAAATAGCTTGAGAGCATAGAAATGTCATCAAAGTAGAGGCCCCACTCACTGCTATTGGGATGGTCTATGGGTATTGCACAACCGTATCAGGCTCAGGGTCTCTGAAGCCTGCTTACAGATCCTCTTCTCACATACTTTCTGTTATGGTTCTGCTTGAGACAGTGATTAAGATACTTCCTATTGGTAATTTTGCACTGCATGCAGATGCCTACAAGCTCCAGCTATGTATTTCCATGTCTCAGTTCCATATTTATTATAAGGGATCTCAGCAAAACCTTCAATTTATGTACTTTTTCAAAAGACTCTTGACCCTCTTACTCATAGACTATGTGGACAAAAGTGTGTGAACAACAGCTTGTCCAATATCTCATTCTGAAACTAAGGGTATCCATCGCTGTTGCCTGTACTCTTCTGGGAAGGCTTTCCATTAGATGTTGAAATATTGCTGGTGGGATTTACTGCCATTCAGGTTGGGTATTGATGTTGATGTGTGGCTAAGTCTCTGTGCCTGTTATCAGAAGGTTGTTGGTTTGAGCCTGGCCTCGGCATATCTGTGAGTCCTTGAGCAACACCCTTAACCCCCAGCTCCCTGGGTGCTGCTATGGGTGGCTGCCCCTCGAGGCGTGAAGAGAATTTTGGCATGGGGATCAATGAAGTATCAATTATTATTGATAAGGTGCCTTTCTGTGAGCTTGTGTGGCCAAACACTGAACTTGCTCTGCTAAATTTCTGCTGCTAATGTTTGTTACAGAAGATTGCGTGACTGTGTGCTTAGTTATACACCTGTGTCAGCAACAGATTGAGCTTAATTAGACAATTACTCTAATTAATAGGGGTGTCCACATACTTTTGGTCATATGGTGTACTTCCGCAGTTGTGTTCATTTCCTGGGTACTGTTAGCGGTGGTCAGTAAAGGAATGGCTGAAGATACCGTTTCAGGGAACAAGCCCTCTATTCCTGAATTCTCTCCCCCAGATCGTTGTGCAGCGACTGGCAGATATGCTGCCCATGCTGATCCGATTCTTCATGCTGAAGCAGTCGGCGAAAATGCTCTGCCATGAGATGCTGAAGCTGATGGATGGCGGGAACGTGAACGAGATGTTGAAAGAGGAATCGGATGTCAGCCGACAGAGGGCGGAGCTGCAGACCCGCATAGATCGGCTCAGCAACGCTCAGGAGAAGATCAACAATTTCTACTGATGGGAAAATCTCCACGTTTGTTCATAACAGATACAAAAAGCACAGAATCTGCTCTTTCTAGGATAAACAATTAATTAACTCAAGTTCTTTTTCTAGGCCTACCACTTACCATCAAAAAATCTTTATCATTGCTTAAAAGTAATTTCTTACGTAATAAAACTTGAAAATGCATACACGATGTTCAACTTTTGAATAAAATGTCACAAAACACTGTCTGTTTGGAAATATGAACGAGCAAAAAAATAAAAACTAATATTTCTTTCTCTGAGCACTGAGGGGCGCTGTAGCCAAATAAATGAGCCATTTCGTGTAATTGTGACAATTAATAGTTTTCAGTTTTTCAATCAATTTAAAGGAGCTGATCTGGTTTATAAAACTAAAAACGAATAAAATAACACCGAAAATTGTATTTTAACTTCCACCTGTTCTGAACGCATTCCTTTTACTCTTTCATGTATTACAGCCCCCAGAACTAAATACTATGCCAGGAAAGTCGGATAAACAAAACATGATTAGTGGCTCGGAGACCTGCTTTTACAGTGACACCCTAGCATGCTACTGCGTTTTAAATTTTTTAAAATGTGCGCCTTTTGTACCGGTTTTACGGTAGGTCGAAGCTATTCGGAAAGCGGCAGATTGAGTCTGCGCGTAGAGTTGAAACATTCTGCAGGTTGTTGCAGTCCGTTATGAATACATTTCAGCCATAAATCACTGCATCAGGATCTCGGTAAAGGTCTGATATTGTAGGCACACAGACATAATAGCGCCGACGTGATGCTGGCTCTCAGACCGCTGCTTTCCCAAGCGCGTCTGTCCCGGACCGCGGGCTCCTTCCACACCGGCGCTGCCTGCTGCGCAGCCAAAGTGGCCGTGGTGAGTCCGGCGCGGGGATCCGGGGTGCGTGCAAAAGACGGTGCGATATCTATGCGGTCGGTAAACGGTATTACATGAGTGTCATACGGCGATCTGTGCGGGGTCTGTAAACCGAATGGCTCCAAACCGCGACCAAAATGGTCGCACATGCGACCTTCTATTATGAGTGTGCGAGTTAAAATGTCACTTGGCGCTTCTGTGCCAGTGTATGATAATCAATAGGATTTTTAACCCTGCAATGGTACTGCCTTTAACAAATCGTGATTGAAAGTTTTTTTCTTCTTCCCTGGTTAAGTGCGTCGTCTTTGCCGAGTTGGTCTCTCCTTACCAGCACCGGGAAGGACGTACATAGACACGCATTGACACAAGTGATCATGGGGGTGATGTTATTAAAGCTAATGTTCAGATTAAAATATTTTGCAAGAGTCTTGAGTCACTGTCAGTCTTTCATCCAAAATAAAAACCAAGGTATGCAGATTAGGACAACTATTCATCAGCATGCAAGGTCATTGATTAATCCCATGCTGCACCAAAAAGAAGGGTGCGACCAACTGAGAAATCTGGTAGCAGCGGTGTTACCACTGGAAAAGTTAGTCTGGAGCTGTGAAACTCTATTATAGGGCGGTCTGTATTGGATTTCAAACCAGTATTATAGGGCAGTCTATATTGGATTTCTAAACGGTATTATAGGGCAGTCTGCATAGGATTTCTAAATGGTATTATAGGGTGGCTTGTATTGGATTTCTAAACGGTATTATAGGGCAGTCTGTATTGGATTTCAAAACAGTATTATAGGGCAGTCTGTATTGGATTTCTAAACGGTATTATAGGGAAGTCTATATTGGATTTCTAAATGGTATTATAGGGTGGCTTGTATTGGATTTCTAAACGGTATTATAGGGCAGTCTGTATTGGATTTCTAAACGGTATTATAGGGCAGTCTGTATTGGATTTCTAAATGGTATTGTACGGCAGTCTGTATTGGATTTCTAAATGGTATTACAGGGAAGTCTGTATTGGATTTCTGAACGGTATTATAGGGCGGTCTGTATTGAATTTCTAAACGGTATTATAGGGCGGTCTGTATTGGATTTCTGAATGGTATTATAGGGTGGTCTGGTATTGGATTTGTAAACGGCATTATACGGCGGTCTATTACCAACATTCAGGCAAAGATAAACAAATACAGTCATTCTTTTGTTACTGGGGGATTTAGCAAACTTAACTGAAAAAAAAAACTGTTAAATGTACCTTAAATGACCTTTATTTTCTGTGTTCTTTTCTATATGGTGAATTGGTACAGTAATGTAATGCTGTGGGGCTGCTCTTCGGAAATCCCAGGTAATCCTTCTGAAACAGTTTGCTTGTCCCGTCTGCAGGTTCTTTCTGGATGTGGGGTGTATGATGGGACTGAAATCCATGAAGCTTCTGCGTATGTAGAACTCTGACCACTGCTGTCCGTGTGTGTATGTCTGTTAGGGGTCACTATTACCCCTTGTGGTCTTGCCTTTCTTACTGCTTACTTTTCATGGCGGTGCTCAGTTGTGGTAACGCATGAGATAGAAATAAACTCAGCACCATCCCTGAGTGACGTGGGTATTTCTACAGAGTGAGGAGCACAAGCGTTAGGCTGGCTGTGTTTCTGTCAGGCAGGATCCTGGTGCATCTCAGCCGGGGTGGAGCCCAAGTGAGGATGTTCGCGCCCGATGTAGCCCAGATGCACGTTATAGACCATGGCAAGGGCCAGCCTGCTGAGGGGGAATCCAGGTGAGGGGACCGTGCAGTGCTGCGTCGCAGTGAGAATATCCAGAGTCTGCAGGCAAATTACAGGTGATCGCCCACGTTGTGTTTCACTTGGCAGGAACGTGCTGTCTGAATCGGCCCGCATCGCTCGGGGCAGCATCAGTGACCTGGGTCACCTGGACGTCAGTAATCACGATGCCGTCATCTTCCCCGGGGGCTTCGGCGCCGCCAAAAACCTGTAATTGCAGTTGTTGGAAACATGCATGAACGCACACAGAGTGTGACACTGTGTAGCATCTTTAATTCCAGTTTTTCTGTATGTTTCCGGCACTTTCTCACCTTTAATTGGTGCTGTTTTATGGGCTGGCAGCTCCACCTTCGCAGTAGATGGGAAGGACTGTGAAGTGAATAAGGACGTGGAGCGTGTTCTGATGGATTTCCACAAAGCTGGCAAACCCATTGGGTAAGTCTGTGTGTGGGGGGGGGTGGCTGGATGCTTCAGTGTCTGACATCTTCATGTGACTTCATCTCCACGCAACCTCAGGCTCTGCTGCATCTCCCCCGTACTGGCGGCTCGGGTTTTGGGGAAGGTGGAGGTCACCGTGGGCCACGAGGAAGAGGAGGGTGGGAAGTGGCCGTACGCTGGGACTGTCCAGGCCATCAGAGCGCTGGGAGCCAAACACTGCGTCAAAGATGTCACCATATCCTTCACTGTCACCTTCAGGGCGTTTCAGACCTGTCAGCAAGCTCTTTAACATCAGTCTGTTATGGCCGCGCAGGTGAACCCTCTGCAGCGGGCTTTGGTGTGGCGGTCCACAGCGATCGGCCAGATTTCCTTAACCGGTATTGCCTACGAGACCCATGTGGACCAGAAGAACAAAGTTGTGACAGCTCCAGCCTTCATGTGTGATACTCAGCTGCACCTGATCTTCGACGGCATCGGCGCCATGGTGAGAGACGTGCTCAGGTTGAGCGGGAAGTAAAGGCCGTCACAAGAGTGGCCCTGCAGATGATAGAGCCCGGATTAGTGTATCTCATTAGGCTTTTGTTGGTAAGAACTCTGCTGTGTGGCTGGTTGATACGCTCCTTGGAAAGGCCTTGAACTGCAGTAATTATAATCAATCTTGTAATTAACATGACTGACCCATTCACCAAGTGTGTGATTTGCCTAAGTGTTCACGAGAGGTGCTGCTTGAATATTAGCAGGATAAGCTAGCGAATTCGCACGTAGGCTGTTTCATAGACAAAATCCAAACTTACTGGGCATCCCGTATATGTGACTTAGATGGATCATTATGTTGATCTTATTACTTTCAGTGTGTAATTACTCATCTGGCAATGAAAGTGTAAAATGCTCTTGTTGTGAAGGACATGTGGGGTGTGATTTTCTCTGACATCTGCAATAAAACTGAACAGCAGTACGGAGACTTGGTCTGTGATGAGATTTGACTGGTCCTGTTGTGCATGGAAACATGTGTCTCTTTCACCTGAATTCATAACATGAATGAGCCACTCCTGATTAAGCATAATTACAGGCAATTACAGCTACAAGTAACGGGGGCAGTGGAAAATTCTTAATAGACTAATGAATATGTGTTTTTTTGGGAATTTAAGTACTCATCTTCAGTAAGTACTCTTCACAGGATATAGGCAGTAATCTTGTGACTAATGTCGCTCACCGGAAAACACGCCTCTATTAATGATGAGCTAAATCCTGACTTTGAAGTCCTTCTCTTCAGGTTGAAAAAGTCCAATCCTGTTCAGTAGAGCAAAGCACACACACTTCCTCTTGACAGAACATTTATGCCGTCGAGATGATGTGCTCCCCGTTTTTCAATGTCGCATGACGTATAAGGAACGGCTGTGTCGCATTAATGGAAACGCGCTTCATCCACCCAAACAGTACCGGTCCCGTGTCTCTCAGAGTCTCTCAACTCCCTAACCACTGTTGCTCCATCCTTGTGCCCCCCCCCCATTCCTGTAAAGAGCCCCTCCTCAGCCTGTCATTAGTATGTTAATGAAGCTCAGGGCAGGTGGCCTGAAAGTCAGTCCAATTAAACTGCTCATCAAAGAAGGCATGAGTGTCCAGACCTAGTTTCCTGGTGATTCCTGAGTGATCGATGGCTGGTGCTCGTCCCAGAAAAATATGCACTTTTAAAAAGAAGCTTTTATTCCTGCTGGTGGGGTTCCATTCTCCAGTACCTTTTGTCCTTTTTATTTAACCTTTTTATTTAACTGCACTTAATTTGATGACTATTCTGGATAACTCAACACATGTACGATTAAAAGAGAATCATATGAAAAGCACAAGATGACGCAAACCATGACTCTGTGGGTCTTATTTATAATTTATAAATTTGAAACATACTAATTGCTTCTGTTGTTTTTTATTCTAATGCTAATAGATATTCATGTCTTAAGCTGTGCATGAGTGAAGATACAGCAATTGTCTCCTAAGCATTATGTTTGCTAGTAATTCCAGCTAATTGTGCCACGGGTGGGCTGATGACTCAGTGGGCAGCCCCGTTGCCAAGTCAGTGTCTTATGGAAGTTCCTTTCACAAGCTCCAACAGCAGGATCAGGCCAGTTTATTAAGGTCTTCTTGTGGTTAAGTGTGATTGTGCAACACTGAAGGCCGCAGACTTTGTAACACCACTGAAACCTACATCGCCTGAGATTACCGCCTCTTTTCCTCTTTTCAATGGGAAAATCCTAATCTGTCTTGTATCTCATTAACTGCAGATGAAATAGCATCATGTGTGAGTCTTCAAGAGGACACTGACTTGGTGATTTACCTTCAGACAGAAAGAGGGCAGTTTATGTCTGTATAGCATTCTGGCGCAGAACATTTTATTTCACACTATATAAAATAAGCCTTTTCATTTAACTTTATGCATTACCCATCCATCCATCCATCCATCCATCCATTTTCAGTATCTGCTCTTCAGTCAAATTATGGACACAAAATTCTCCCGCAAACACCTTTTGCCAGTACTGTATTTTACCAAATGCCCCGGGACATTGTATTTCACAGTATTTTAGCAACATGTAGTAATATCGGTATGTAATACCAAAAAATGATTTACTGTCTTAACGCTAATAGCCTATGTATGCTGCTGTATTGTAGGAGGGCTGTTTAGCACTGCTAATAACAACTGTTAATGACATGGGGTGTGGAGCCTAATCTGGAAGCTGTGGGTGCAAGGCAGGGAACAACCCAGGACAAGGTGCCAAGCCCATCACAGGGCACATTAACACACCATTCTCACCTATGGGCAGTTTGTTAACGCCAATCAAGCTTGGCCTGTGTTTGCATGGTGGTGGGGAGGAGCTGGAGGAAGCCCCATGATGACACAGGGAGAACATGCAGACTCTACACACGTGGAGCCATGGTGGAGATGTGAACCCAGATCCCAGTGGTGTGACAGTGCTAACCAATCTGCCACTCCCTGTCCTGAAATATTTTTTGAGATTATATTTTATCGTGAATAGATTTAACTGGAGCTTCCGCTGGTTTACTTTTACACAGAAAGCAAACGTCTGGCATCTTGGCAGAAACTCACCTGCGCCAGCTGGGTCTCCATTCTCCCTGGAGAGGACATTGGTCACTGTTAGAGATAGTTTTCACCTTTTTTCCAACATGTAACCTTCTCATTTCTATCTGTGCTCACGGCCAACATCTCTCATCAGCTGAATGAGGGAGAGAGAATCAAACCAGTGTGGGATCTCTCTATAAGTCTTCAAACCTTTTATTTTGACACTTTGTTGAACTTGTATTGTGTTTTATTGCATCTGTTCCTTCAAAATGAGATATGCATATTTGCACCTGTTAGTCTCTCGTTCACTTGTGTATGCACATTTTAAGCAGAATATGACTTTCACCAGTATTGTCTCAAGGTGTTTGCTCAAGGACTACCAGTTAATCAAACACCATGCCTATGTGTAAAAGATAAAAGTCTTCGAAGATGCCTTGTTAATGAATATTGAAGACAGGAACAGAAACAGGCCACAGTTTTCACTGAACTTCCAAGCAAAGAAAAAAAACCATCTGTTATCGTAAAAGAACTGAGAAGTTTACGATCTACAGAAGTAAACTTTTCCTAATGAAACACTGAATACTTAAGCAATGACAATCAAATAGCTTAAACTGGACTCACATTATAATAATGCAGGCACATAGTAAAAATACATGGGAACAAAAAAAGCAATTAAATATTCTGATTTGAGACATTTCAATACTTAGGTTCCTTCTTCTGTACATGTTTACATTTGTGACTTTTCTGTTTCATTCCCTCTGGCGCAGTTCTCCCATCTGGTTCTGACAAACACTCATACATATACACAAATACCCATGTCTAAACAGGGACCTTCCATTCATCTCTATGGGAAAAACCCTAATCCCAGTCACGACACCCCCCCCCCAGCCAGCCTTAACCTTAACCATAAGTAACCAAATAAGATGCAGGAATTTTTACATTTTTGATGGCGCTCACAGATGTTTATAAAATTCGGGTTATCTAAATGAGGACCTGAAAAATGTCTCCAAAAGTAAGGAAGTTTCAGGTTTTACCACACTTTGGGGACATTTTGGACCCCAGATGTGATCTATGCAAATAATATTCTTTAGTAAAGTCCCCTTTGGGGGGGGGGTTTCCTGTGCAAAGGCTGACACTGCAGATTTCACTCTACATCACCACTATGGACACAACACAGATGCACACTGATCATTTCTGTGCATTGAGTCCTTTCACTATGAGGGAACCTCTGCTGTAAGGTATAGGTTCAGCATTTTCAGTTGATAACAACTGCTGCACATCCCTTTGTTTTCCGGAAAACTTACAGGGGAATTTTTAATTTTATTAGAATGTTTGCGTGTTGACGTAACGTCGAATAGCTGTCAGTTAAGTTGACGGCTGTCTCTGCTATAGAGAGTCGTTTCCCCCCTTTACCTGCCTGGTTTTTGGTCGTTCCCAGTGTCTCCTGTTTCGCCTTGCTTTTGTTTACTGCTGTCTTAGAAATTTTGAACCTGGAAGCGACCAGCCATGTAGCTCTCTGCCAGTACAACCAGGACTAAACCAGGATTTTAAAACACACATTTAAAAAAATATATATATTTTATGGTCTCTTAATTTTTCCAGAGTTGTATATCTCCTGACGGGCTTCTAATTCTGTTAACCTCCACAAACACTCAGCTTTTCTCCAGCTTCTTTTTAACTGCAGTACATGTGCCGCTTTCTGAGGGACAGTTCAATTATGACACAATGTTTTAAGTTCAGGGGCTTTTTAACTATGCAATTAAAATTTAAGGCCAGATCCTGTACAGATGAGCCATTTTGTTTCCCACTTAACAGTAACAATAAGTTCTGAAAATTGCGATAAACGAAGTGAATACACCTTGCATTGTTTATCTATGACCTTGTTGTATTTTCTAAGAAAAAACATAGAAAAATTTTAAAATCATTTGCCACAGGATTTAACTTACCATCCATAACATTTTGAATAAAATAAATCTTTTTAAATGTGTTATATCTCTAGAAATAAATGTTACAATTCAAAATGCATTTGAATAATCTATATTACACAGTATATACTAATACAATAGGTTCAGGCTAGATTCAATATAAATGACATCTGCCTTTTCAGAATAACTATAGTAGGCAAATCAGTTAGGGATTTTTTTTTTTTTTTTTAAAGTTGTTTAAATTAAAATAAATAAAAATAGGTTAAAAAGAACAATATCAACCCAAATTCAACAACCCAGATCCTCATGTAGTTGCCTATCTGTACCACCTTTGTCAAATTTTCTGACAGGCATGACAACAGGAGGATAGTGAAGGGGACGTTTTATCAGGTGGCTGACTTGCCAAATGTCTTTGGGGTAACAGTCAGATAGTGTGCGACTCAGAGCTTGTAGAAGTAAGTACACAGCAAATAAAGAATCATGAGATGCTGAGTTGCCACTCAAACCAATATGGGATGCAATTTGTTCTGGATTTTCATGCATGTTGTTTCATATACATACTAGGTCAGGGATCCACAACATCCATTCATTTTCTGAAACCACTTCTCCTATTCAGGATCACAGGGGGTCCAGAGCCTAACCCAGAGGCACCCAGGATACAGTGCCAACCCATTGCAAGGCACACTCACACACACACCCCTATGGGCAATTTGGTAACTCCAGCCCCACGACGACATGGGGAGAACATGCAAACTCCACACACATGGAACCCTGGCGGAGGCTTGAATCCAGGTCCCACGGGTGTGAGGCGACAGTGCATGCAACATGTGAAACTGAATTTAATTGGAACTGGGTGTTAAATGCCCCTTCCCTCACTCTGCAAACTTTATCGTCGGGGGCCAGAGTGGGTGAAGTTCCTTATTTCTTCAGATTGATTGTTGAAAGTGGCACCCAAGGTCCATTTTAACACCAACTGAGGTCTTTTTTTGGATAAAAATTTATAAACAAATATAATACGTTTAAAACTATTTAAGCATCCGCGGAAAACCTAAGTACACTTGCGCCATCTGTCGGTGGAAAACAGCACGACGATGCTGGTTTTTTAATATGGGCCATCGACTCACTAGGTGCTCAACAGCTATTCCTGCGGGACTACTGGGTTGCCAAATTGATTTTAACTAGTAACAGCTAGAGCTTTTCAGTTGGATGTATTGGAGAAGAGTGTAAAAATGTTTAATTGTACACGATGTTTCAGAAACAACAACAAGACTTTCATTATTTTTTACTTATGAAGTCTTTTGTTGTCAAGGCACGTTGATCTTATATCGGCAGGTATAGTCTGGTAACCGGAATGGCGGCGTCTCTGTTTTAACAATGCAAAGATAGGTTTTACTTTTGTGCATTTTACTGAACTAGGACCATATTACATCCGGATGGATAAGAAGAAGTTTACTATTAATTTGGACGATTCTGCTTTCACCACAGAACGACCTCAGGTTGGTGAAAATCAAGTTTAATCTGATTTTGGATTGATTTTTGCCCCGGGCTTTGGGTTCTTCCATCATGTTTTATTCATCGGTACAGTCGGCAGCCTCCGATCAAACCTCATGTTGTGTGCGTAAAATGCGCACATCCACATGTAGGTGCACTTTGTGGTACAACGGCTGCTTTGCAGGACTGCCCAACGCTTACTAATGGTTGACAAGCTGGCGTACCTGTTGCATAGGACAGAGCTGTGTTGTTGTAGGTGACAGCGCAGATGGTCACCTTGGCGTTTATCTGTGCAGGTGAAGTCCCTGTTTAAGGCTTCATCGCGGAGCGACGAGCCCCCAGCCCAAGCCGCCCTGCCCCCGCTGTCCTACGCGGAGTTCATCATCCAGCGCAAAGGCCAGGCCGCTCAGTCCAGTGACGCGGGGGCACAAGTGATCGGAGAGCAGGGAACATCTGCTAAGCAGGCGGCCCACAGCGAGCCTGCGGATGCGGGCGTGGGGGTCCATCAGCCGGCAACCGCTCCGGCGGAGGCGCAGGGGGAAGCTGCGAGGTCAGACGCCGCACTCAGCAGTGGCCCAAAAGCAGCCGGCACAGGCAGCAGCATCATCGTGAGCCCTCGACAGGTATCAGGGCTGCCAGCTCGCACGCATCTGGCCTGACACGCTTTCAGACTCTCATGCTCACGGAAGAAATCTTACGGCAAATCTATTATTCCATTATAAACCTAAAATTAGTTACATCTAAAGCCTTGGGGTAGTTCGCAAAACCTACAAACTCTTTACAAGGTAATAAAACTTTAACATACATGTAAATCTGTGTGCAGACTTGTCTCAAATTAAAAGTCTCACTCCAGCTAACTGACCAAATTTGGCAACCCTGAGGTATGGACGAGTAAGTTCCTGTTAAATGCATACATACAGCCACATATTGGTATGACAAATAAAAATCCGGATGGATTCCCTGGTTAAAAGAATACACCCTCATACAGAAACGCTGTCTGAAATGTTACACATGTAACCAAAGATCAATGGCCTTGTGTCTCCAGAGGGGAAACCCGATTCTGAAGTTTGTGCGGAGTGTGCCGTGGGAGTTTGGTGAAGTCGCCCCTGATTACGTCCTGGGACCGACAACCTGTGCTCTTTTTCTCAGGTTGCTGCTCTTTTTGTCTTTTTACACAGTTCGGGAAGGGAAAGTAGGAGGTGTCAGACACTGCATGTGCTGTTTTATGCAGTGTGAGTAGGGCAGTCTTAATGGTGGACGGTCTGGCTCCTACAGCATTAAACAGCAGTGACGTGTCTGGGCACCCTGGTCTGATCTCGCTCCTTCTCCATTGTTGTTGGCCCACAGCCTGAGGTACCATAACCTGCATCCAAACTACATCCATGACCGACTGAAGAATCTGGGGCAGACCTTCACTCTCAGGGTGCTGCTGCTACAGGTGGATGTGGTGAGTCATGTGACATATTTTACGTGACCAGTTGTCTGCCTGATTGAACAGTATAATGGCAGTAATTGCTTAGTATAGTAATGGACTGCATGGTGAAACATAGCTGTAGTTAAATCTCAATCCATTTGCATGAGTCTTTTATAGATTAACAACTACCTGGAGTGCAGTAGTTTAATATGAAGTTATGTTAGGAGATGTCCCTGAACGTATAGTTTGAATGAGAGATGCCAGCCATCTCATGATGATATTTGTGCCTATCTCAGAAAGACCCCCACCATGTCTTGAAAGAGCTGGCGCGCATCTGCATAATGGCAGACTGCACCCTCATATTGGCCTGGAGGTGAGGACAAAGGAGTGCAGAGGTCAGGGTGGGGCATTGAAGGGTCAGCGATCCTTCACAGTGCGGGATGCATGTCCTTCACAGTGCGGGATGCATGTCCTTCACAGTGCGGGATGCATGTCCTTCACAGTGCGGGATGCATGTCCTTCACAGTGATGGGATGCATGTCCTTCACAGTGATACAATTACTGCGATTTTTCTTCGCAGTCCCGAAGAAGCCGGACGGTACCTAGAGACATACAAAGCCTATGAGAAAAAGCCAGCAGACCTCCTGAAGGAGCAGGTGGAGAAGGACTTCCTGTCCAAGGTGACATCTCCATAAAGCACATGCTAACGGGATGCAGACGTAGGGATGAAGTGTCTGTTCTTCCACAGTGCCAGAGCCTGCCAAGCCCAGATGTTTGTGAGGCCCTGATACATTTACCTCTGTTAAATGGTGCCCACTACTGGCTGTATGCATGTTTTATCCATTTGTGTAAGAATCACCTCTTCTTATAGGTCACAGACTGTCTGACAACAGTCAAATCCATCAACAGGACCGATGCCATAACCTTGCTCACTACGTTTTCCGTAAGATGTTGGTTTTGTAATATTATACTTGTTTTAAGTATTATACCCAGATGTGAGACAGTTTAATACCCAGATTCTCTGTTCAGTTCTTGTTCCACTGAATGTAGCATTCAGTCGCTGCAAGGTCGACTAACTTCTCTGGAGATGATGGGCTTGATTTTTAGTTCTGTTGTCCTTGTAGTCTCTGGATGGAGTAATGAATGCCTCAAAAGAAGACCTTGCACTCTGCCCTGGGCTGGGACCTCAGAAGGTGAGACAGGGATATATAGGAGAAAACCAGTTCGTACTGAGGGGTGTTCTGTGAAGCAGGATTTCTTGCTTAGCCAGATAACTTGTTGGATTTAAGGTTGTCTGAGCTAAATGTAATTGAAGATAAAGTCCATTTAGCCCAGACTACCTTAAATCCAACAACTTATCTGGCTAAGCAAATCCTGCTTTCTGGAGCATCCCCCTGTTCTGAGGTCTCATGCAGTGAGACCTGAGTGTGCTGCAGGGTATCTCTGTAGATTAAATATCATGGATGTGTATGTTTTCTTTTCCTTCTACAGCAGTTAAACTGCTTTTGGTGCCTGTGTGTTGCAGTATTTTCTTTAGCTTTGCTGTCTGTGATGGTAACCTGTGCATCTTGGTATGTGTATCTATATGACATTTTTTGTGTTACAGGCTCGCCGTCTCTATGACGTCCTACACCAGCCTTTCCTCAAGAGCAAGAGAAAAGCTGAAACATAGTACCTGCCAGACCTCTTCTCCCAGACACAGCCTTGGGGACGGAACGCTGAGCAAAATGTTCCTGACATGCTGTGTTTGGTGTGGACAGACTGACTAAGCATGGACTCTCTCAGGAAAGGAACTTTTTAAATCAGCATTACATGACCAAAATATTTATTTCAATAAAGCCTTATTAGTTTAAGCAGCTTTGTTGTTCATTAGAAGAAAAAAAGAAGGATTCCTGTCAAACACTTTGCCTCAGTGTTGTGAAATTTAGACCCATGTCTTCTGAGGTAGCAGCACACAGCAGGCGTTTTGATCATCAGCATAACGTCAAATCAAACAAAAGACTTGGAGGATAAAAATGGCAAATTTTAATATAAATCTCTCTATATGAAACAAATTAGAACAGCTACGATGTGATGCTGAAGGTTTGTGAATGAACCATTACTTCCCCCCCCCAGAGATGGTCAGCAAAGAGGTCCTGTTTACACTGTCCCAGTTACCTGGTCTTTTAATACAACCACTAAATTTAAACCCCTGACTCTAGAATACAGTGTACTTTCTGATAGTCCAAACACTAATATTTTCTTGATGTTTTATTGGCTGGTTGGGTCTGTTAGTTTCCTTCACCTCTGGTCAGTTGAATAGATCCTTCTGTCCGCAACCAGGAGCACTTAGGGAAGGCAGAACAGATCATGGCAGGGGCCTGATCTGAAGATTTGAAACAGCACACGCTTACCTCCGTGGCTGCTGTCTCTCCATACACATTGTCGCAAGAGGATTTAATAGAGTAAAATTAATCGAATTCAACATCTGAGTTGAGTCTCTCATGGCCCATTTGTGAAGCTCCTGTGTCCCAAAACGGTCCCTTCAAATTCACCCGGCTAACAGCAGGGAAAAGTCCACGTCGTCCAAAAATGGACAGAACCAGCACCATGCGGCTCTCAGTCATAGTGCAGATTTTTGAAGTTGAAACGTTTTCGGTCTGTGAAACCAGTCATCTGGGTAGATGGCGAAAGCAAAAAGAAATTTAAGTTTCCAGTTAAAAAAACGTAATTAAATGACTAAAGTCAATGTACCACACAATGAGCTGGAATACTCAGGAGCAACTAACCTGATTAGGCTCTTTTGTGAAGTATCTCTTCTCTATTACCTGTAAATGAGGTAGACAAACTCAGTGATACTGCATGTATAACAGAGTTATCCCTTTATGTTATTACAGTCTGATCCATGGTTTGTTACAATTCAGACTGGTTCTCTAAACTCCTCTAGTGCTGGTAACCAGACAGCTAACCATGCTGCTGGCCAACCGGCTCCTAACTCTCTCGTTACCTTGTCAAAGAACCTGCTTAACTTGACCGCGTTGGAGGAGCCTGCTGCCAGATACCGCGGATTAGTGCAGTCCTAGAAAGACATGGGGAGTTAATGGTGTGGTTTAGGTAAAATTGATACCCATTAACTATGTGGGTATCTACTAATAAAACAGCAAAATTCATACCAGGTTTATTTCCTCAGCATTAAAGTCTTCTGACAGGAAGGCTGTCCTCGTCAAGACATCGTTGCGTTTGTTTTCAGGAATTTGGTCAAATTTGGTCCCTATCATAAGCAAAGGCACTGGGTTCTCGGCAAACTTCTCCCTATCGTAATCTCTGCAGCAAGAGAGGACAGGCAGTGTAGTTTCCAGAGGAGAAGGGAAATTTCTGTTACAAATGTTAAATAAAGGAACAGATAAAACCCACTACGTACCCATTTGTGACTATGACTCCAGTTGGAGATGAGTCCTTATTCAGAGCTTCCAGCGACCACCGGTATAAATTTTGCGAGGACTTCTTGTTGGTCAGGTCATGCACTAAAATTATACCTGTGATGGCAGATAAACACGTTTGTATCGTGCATTGAGCTTTAAGGTTCTCTACTGCAGCGTTTAGAGACCCATGTTCTTTTTACCGTTAACAGAGCTGTAAAAAACAGCTCTAGTGCTTTTCACGCTGCTGGCGCTGCCCACCGATCCACCAACATCCCATAATTCAATGTAGAATGTTTTCTCCTCCGGCGTCCCTTCTTTGTAGTCATGGACCTGTGACGGTTGAGAGGCTCTAGATTTACTACTAATAGTGAACTTTTTCCATTAAAATATCGGAGTGGGTGTTCATTAAAGCAGCCTCTTACACGCACGTCCACGGAGCAGCCCACTGTCCACGAAGGATTTCCCAGCACCTGATTTTGACACAGCAAATGAACCAGCGACGACTTCCCGACACCTGCAAAGCCCGATTATCGGTCAGAGGGGCTACGTGGAAATTACGAAACAGTAAGAATATGCCAGTTCATTTTAGGACATATTTGAACGATACACATTCATTACCAGTGAAAACTCCGCAGACATGTAATCTCACTGATGTTATGAAACATACAGATAGATGAGCAACAAATTAGGTTGAGAACTGCTGCACAAATTAATATTTATATCAAGTTTTTTTTGGCGTTCGTACTGTGTTGTACTAGATCGTATTTATATTTCTAAATTAAGTCATTAAAAGGCTTCTGTATATACCCTTATTATTAAATACACTCACCCGAATCTCCCAAAACAAGTACCTTGATCCGGTCAAGCGACGCCATGTTTGCATACGCCTTCTGAGACGAACCCGGAAGTAAAACCGCATCCCGCCCACACTTCCGTTCTTCCACCCGCCTTTCAACCCCGAATATTTACTACTTTAAGCCCACTCGCCCTTACAGCTGTGTATCGTTCTAGTGCTTTGCCTTTCAGAATCCAACATCAGCAAGCAGCGCCAACACTGGCCTAACCGTAAGAATGATAAGAAAGATGGCAAAAACGCCAAATACTCAGGATCTTTATCCCTTCTGTCACAGTGGCGATCCGCTGTGCTTCTTCATTGGATAGTCGGAATGTCAATCTACTGTGACTGGCCTGTGATTCGCGGTTCCCAGGTGATGGATTACCGGAACTCTCTGATGACGTTTCTGTGGTTTGTGGGCCCTGCTGAGGCTTAGGGGAAACGTGGGCGCCGGAATGACTGTCACGGCGTGAGCTGCCGAGGAAGCAGGCGAGTAAGCGTTTTTGCCCTCTCGAGTGGCCCTTGTAAATTTTTAGAGATAAGTCCGATGTGTCCCGAAACCACTTGCACACCCTCTCCGTGTCCTATAAATCCGCCGCTGCTGTATTTGTAAACTCTGTTTACCATCCGCACTGTGTAGTTTGTGTACTGATCTGCGCGGTGATGGTGGAGGATCGAGGTGCCACAACCGCGGCATCAATCACTGGCAGTTAACCCGCTTTCTGCAACGTAATATGATATTATTCTGCACGTAAGAATGTTGACGTGCTCGGCCTTTACGCTCGTGTAGTGTGACTGTATGTGTGGATGAGGAAGAACCAACGCCAGTTTACAGAACTGCACCGTCGGTCCGTACATGTGTTTTGAAACTTCATCGTTTAAGTGCCCGTCTTCAGCAGTTTACTTTGTTCTAAAACCCAAGGCATGTGTGCCTAACCTGGCAGGAGTGTATGGAAAGTGCATATTGGCACCACAGACATGTGATGACCTAGATTTAACCCCGTACTAGAGGTGTGTGTGTATACCAGAATGACAGAGTGTTGTGTCCCTCATGCAGATCTCCTATAAGAACGCAGTAAAGTGTCTGTTCCTCTGACCCCCCCGCCCGGCTGCGGTGGTGCTCAGGCCTCAGCATGACGGAGCCGGAGCTGCTTACAGAGGTGCCAGCAGCGCTGAAGAGGCTCGCTAAGCAGGTGGTGCGTGGCTTCTATGGGGTGGAGCACGCCCTGGCCCTGGACATCCTGATCCGTAACCCATGTGTGCGGGAAGAGGACATGCTGGAGCTGCTGAAGTTCGACCGGAAGCAGCTGCGCTCGGTGCTCAACACGCTCAAGGGCGACAAGTTTGTCAAGTGCCGCATGCGGGTGGAGACAGCCGCCGACGGTAAGGCCACCCGCCACAACTACTACTTCATCAACTACCGGGCGCTGGTCAACGTGGTCAAGTACAAGCTGGACCACATGCGGCGGCGCATTGAGACTGATGAGCGCGACTCCACCAACCGTGCCTCCTTCCGCTGCCCCTGCTGCTTCAGCACCTTCACTGACCTAGAAGCCAACCAGCTTTTCGAACCCATGACAGGTGAGGGGCATATCCCTGGCCGGCTCTCTTGTCAGTCACGCCTCTGTGGCTCAGCTCAGCTCCCAGTCGGGCTCCATCTACCTGTGATTCTGGTGGCAGGTGGAACCAGCTACGAGTCTACGGCCCACTCTCACTTTATGCTCATTTACTGTCATGTCTCCTGTTCGCTTTGTAAGACTGGCCTTATTGATTGAGGAGAGTGCATTTCTGCTACCCACTTCACTACTGACGTGTCTCTGATAGGCTGCATTGTGGTCTGTACACACTTTTAATCCAGAGCCCGGGATGGATCTTCTGGATTGGCCTGGGGGCTTCAGCCAATGAGCTTTTAATGATCCCACAGTGGGACTGAGCTCCATTATTCACTGAATCGGGAGCAAAGTAATGCTGTCTACTTGTGTGGGTAGATGAAATGCTTGTGCAGCCATTGGCGGTGAGAGCAGAGTGTTACCTAAAGCCTGGTTCATAATTCAGTTTTCCGTGTTCGCTTGCGTTCCCGCTGCGTTTGGCTGCCGATGCGGATGGTGAGAGTCAACTTCATTGCTGTAATACCAGTGCTAGCCACCAGGTGGAAGCAGAATGTTGAACCCTATGCCACATTGCAACATGTGCTACTTAGTAAATCGATAAAATACGTTGAGAAGTGAAGGCTCTTATTTTTTTCTGCGGATAAGACTTAGAAGGTGATGGAGCATAAATGGAAAACAAGATTAAAAAAAAAAAAAAAAGAAATGTTTACGTGATAAGATGTGGCTTAATTTGTTCCTGAAATTTACTCATCAGTTTAAGCAAATTAGATTTTTCTTAGATAAGCTTTTGTGTAAATTTGCAGGGTCATGATGCCCCTGATCCAGATGATGTGCAGATTGCGTTTCAGGTCACATTGACTGAGTCAGGATGCTCAGACCACAGCCGGCTTAATTACTGGCTTCATAATGAAATGGCGGGCCAGTGAGCTTGTGCTCTGTGCTGTGCTGCCAGAGGACCTGCGGCTGTCGGGCTTATGCCCGCCCCATTTTGATCCCCTACTCTCCAGAACTTTAGGGGTATTATGGTAATTCAGTGTACCATGGTTTTAGACTATTCTGTGTCATTTGGAAATCCATTACGCTAATTTGTTTTTCAGTGAAATATATCATGCGGGTCAGCGTGCCCCTCTGTGGTCACCGGGGACAGCTGGCATCCAAGGCAAGACTTTGGGTTAATTTGTAAGTAAGATAAGGTCAATTTGTCAGTCAAGTAGTTGATTGAGCACCTTTGCATTGATCGGCTCGTATCAGAGTGTGGAGTCTTGTCTCATCCTGCTCCATGTGTGCAGTGCGTCTCTGAAGCTACATAGCTGGTTTTTTTTCTTGGCTCCCATAGTGGGCAGTGTATGGCTCAGTGGGTTAGCATGCTGCCTGTGATCAGAAGGTTGCTGGTTCAAAGCCCAGGGTCGGCAGAGTGATGTCACCATAGGGCCCTTGAGCAAGGCCCTTAACTTCCAGTTGCTCCGGGGACCGGCTGCCCCCTTCGTTCACAGATCAATGCATCTTGCTTTGAGTAAAAGCCTCTGCTTAATAAATGCACAGGTTTAATGTCTAAACATCCTCCTCAGATCTCTTGCGGATCTTTTGAGAGTTCAGTGGCGATGAGATGAATCTCAGTATCGGGTAATTCAAGGAGACCATTCTGGCTGATTTGAAATTGCTCCTTGCTTATGTGTGTGTGCTTACCCTGTTGGATCAGATGTTGTTATCTAAGATGGATGCATTTATATTGTTTACTGTGTGTTTCTTATAGGAGCAGGGATGGTCTAATTGGCCTATTAGGCACCTGATTTTACCTGGGTTTTCATTTCTTTGGTCTGTCCCTTTCAAAAGCCTCTCTGGAGTCAGAGTGCTGTGTTTTGACTTTACCTGGTTTGTAGCCCATATTTCCTTAATCCGTTCCTGTGTGTGTTCAAAGGGCAGCGTGATTTGCTCTTTGACGGGGAGATGGATGGCTTTATTTAAAATAAAAGTTCTTTTGAAGCTCCATCGCGGAAAAGAATTAGCGTCTGGCGCTGGGTGAAATGGAGGATTGTTTATGCATTGTGATTCGTGGTGATGAGTTGAAGGGCTTCTCGGCGAAGTGTTCTTACATCAAAACACACTTTAAGATCTCTGTCAGAGCGGCTTTGGTTGGGGTCGGGTGCGATGGCCGCTCTGGTACGGCTCCCAGGCCTGTGGCCTCTGTCATTCCCCGAGTTGAGCTGCAGACCATTGCCCCCCCCTCCCCCAGGCACGTTCCGCTGTACCTTCTGCCAAACCGAGGTGGAGGAGGATGAGTCGGCTGTGCCGAAGAAAGACGCCCGCACGCTGGTGGCTCGCTTCAATGAGCAGATCGAGCCCATCTACGCGCTGCTGCGGGAGACCGAGGATGTCAATCTGTCCCACGAGCTGCTGGAACCCGAACCCAGTGACATTCCTGAGCTGAGGCACGTTGCCGACTTTGGCGCCCCCTACTGTCCTCTCCCATGCATTGACTTTACTCAGCATGGATCTTTACTACTTTTCTTTGTCTTTTTTACAGCCGTGGGCGGGCTGCGCAGGCGTCAGCCGGCGGGCCCAACCGGCCCAGTGGGCCTCACCGGGAGGCCTGGTCCTCCAAGGGTTCTGCTTACGCGGACCTGTACACGCAGAACGTGGTGATCAGCATGGACGAGCGCGAGGAACAGCAGCGTCCGGCGGCCGACGCCAAAGCGCGGCCCGTGTGGCTGACAGAGAGCACCGTGCAGGGGGCCTACAGCGAGCCTGACGTCCTCCAGACCCGTAAGACCCTCCCCCTCCCTGCTCCGCCCGCGTGCCACATGACGCCGCGGCTGACTCTCTCGCTCTGCTGTCATTCCAGAAGCCGAGGACATTGCCGGGATCCAGGCGGGCCGCACTGTGGGTCGGGATCCACAGCTGGACGAGAATGAGGTTATGCGAGCGCTGCTGATCCACGAGAAGCGTGCCGGGTCAGGGGCGGCACCGGCGGGCGGGACCCTGGGCGGCACCCGGGCCCCGGCCAACGCCAGCGACTCGGAGAGTGACACCAGTGAATCGGACGAAGAGTCTCCCCCACGCCCTGCACCTCCTGTCGCCGCGCGAGGCCCGGCTGAGGAAGACGAGGAGGATGATGACGAGGACTTTGAGGAGGTGGGGGAGGAGGAGCCCATGGTGTTGGTGGGCGGGAGGCCGTTCTCCTACCGTGAAGTCAGCCAGCGGCCTGAGCTGGTGGAGCAGATGACTGCGCAGGAGAAGGAAGCTTACATAGAAATGGGCCAGAACATCTTCCAAGACATGTTCTTCTAAGCTGCTGGTTGTCCTCCTGGCCACGTTGGGTCCCCCGCCCCCATCCACTTCCACTGTGAAAGCTGCGTATGTGTTTGCTGGCAAGCGTCTCCCAACTTAATGAATAAGGTCTTAGTCATGAGCCAATGGAAGACGCTTGTGTTCTCCTAACCGGACAGGCTCTCCTTAAGGCGGATGACAGAGGTGCCAAATTGACCAATAACATGCTCTGTCCTTTCTTGATACACTTTGCACCCTCAGAGCTGGGCAGCCTGTACCAACCTGCCAGTCTCCGCCTCTTAATGGCTGCTTTGGTCTAGATAGTTCATCTGGATGTATTAGTTTATTGCCATTTTTCTGCTGGATGAGCTCGAGTTCCTTTCGAACCAGGACTTGTAACACAGTCTTCCTGTGGCAACAGGTCCCCTTTCCATATTCATAAGCTGCTTTCCTGTTCCTCTTCTGCTGTCCTGTTTTGCTTCCATTTTTCTGCATCCCCGGACCTGCAGCTTGAGTAATACCTGTCGGTTCTGCGCCGTCAGTCGAGCCCCAAGATGGCAGGAGCGGCACCTGACCAACGTTGGCTGTGGGTTGACACCTTCCACTCCGAAGACCTTTTTCCCCACATTTACAGAGAAGTGGATCTTTCTCTCCGCATCCTTTCCTGTGTTGAATGGTTTATATTTGATTTAGTTTTTATAATTGTTCACTTGTTTTAATTTGTTTTGAGTTTGGTGGAACCTTGGTTGAGTGAAGCAAGTCTTGCGAGGAATAAAGAGTTTCGTAAAAACTTTAAAGTGTTTCTTTTCTTATAAGTCTGAAAGTTTTTGTGTCTGCGAGGGGTCAGTTTGGGACTGCAGGGATGCTGTCCGAGTCTTAATGAGTCCAGCACATGTCAGGTAATCACCTGGCTTTTGTTTAGGAATCCACGCAGGAACTGCTCAGCTTGACTCGATCTTTCTGGTTTTTGGCAGTCAGCTGGAGCCATTTTTCCGCAGCCTGGAGCGTTTTTCCATCTCCGCGCGTTGACTGACAGGACGTGGAGGCGGGACCCTCGGGGGCATAATTGGCACGTGGGCTCGTTCTGCGGGGCCGTGATTGATCTGAGAAGGGCGTCGGGGGGGGCCACCTCGGTGCTCCCTCCGCAGCCGCGACCCCCGCCTTACCGACGCGTGCTAGTGCACGGTGTGGGGTCTGAGTGGGCCGGGAAGCAGAAGAAGGAATAATTTAACAGGGGAGGCATTAAAAAGCGGCCCCTGGGGTGAGGCACGGATGCTGGGGGGGGTCTGGACTGTGGGTCCCTGGATCTGGCCTAATTAGCCTGGCCCAGGGGGGCCTTGGACACCCACAGCAACAGTTTGTCAAGTCGGCTTTCCGTTTCTGTGGTCTGCTGTGGTCTAAAGCCCGTGCTCTCTGTTAGCTGCTCTGAGATCTACCACATGTGCTGATCTTCATCCAGCCTAAGAAGCTGGGTTTAAGCATAAAGCCAAAGCTTCTGTGATATTAGAGTACTTGTGGTTTGTGCTCTTCTGGAATCGCAACACTGAGGCTGCAGATCCTGGCTTTAGCATCTAGCGGAATGCTTCTTCAGGCCTGCGTCTGCCCAGATCAATACCGGAGTCATAGCTTAGCAGTGGTGCTAACTTTCACAAATGTGGTTGGGAAGCAGACATGGGGACACAATGGAAACCGAGGTGCTGAGGCTCATTGGACTGGGCGGTTGTCCGTCAGGCGATGACGTTCTCTGATTGGCTGGATCTGGGCATTCCTGGGTGGAGCTGTATTGTGGTTCGTGGGGTCCAGGTCTTTCAGAAGGGACGACCTCGAGTACAGCATAGTGCGGTGGCCACGTTGTCTGGCTTCACCTCAGTTGTTAGGTGCTCGCCGCTTTCACCTCTCCCTCTGTCTACCTCTCCTTCTGTTCTTAGCCCCTGGGCATCCAGCTGGGTTAATGACTGTCAATCAGGCGTCGGATTTCAAAGCGTGACCTTCAAAGCCCCTCCCCTTCGGTGGTGCCCGGGGGGGCGGGGAAGCCTGTAGCAGGGCCGTGTTGGTTGTCTATCAGCCAATGACGTGTGTTATTTCTGGAGAGGAACACACACTTGTCCGCTTAGGCCTTGCATGTCTACCTACTGTGTGATTTCACTAAGGACGTATCAGGAAAAAGGCCTTTTTATTTTACCGGGTCTGTATGAGTGAAATCTGATTAGATGTGGACAGCAATCATTTCTGCTCACGCACCGGCAAAGAATGACACTCTCATTCCTGCTGTCCGCGTGATCTGCACCACTGATCATCCTTTTGAAGGGGCTGGATTTGTGTGAGCGTTTGAGATACAGGCTTCTCCTCTCCTGTCTAAACCCCATCGCGCACATGGGTGCACTCTGTCTCTCAACCGTCATCGCCTTCTCCGTCACCGTACCACAGCTGTAGCGAGTGTAGCGGTTTAGAGAGCTGTAGGGCCTGAATGGACAAAATGGTGACTGTATGTGGGCCTCCAGCTAAATAAAGGGACACACACAGCACGGAGACAGACTGTAGTAACAGCTTAGATGGCTCAGTACCCTGTGGATGGCAAAGCCCTCAGAAATCTGCCTTCACCTGTATCTCCATGCTGCACAGCTGCCCGAGTGATTCATTGTGGACTGGTGAACGTTGGGTTTCGAACACTCTCTGACCTTCTCCTTAACATTCCTCTCTCCATGGCTCCCTCCATTCTTCTCGTCACCAATCTTTTGAGACGGGAATGGAGAAACATAGAGAAGTTGCCCAGTTTTTAAAAAATTCTTTTCTGTTTACTTTTTTCTCTTTTCTCATCCCTGTTCTCTTTCTTTTTTTTTCCTGAACGTGCTGAATGGGCCTTTTTTTTACGCGTTTTGCCTGCTGGGAACTTGGAGCCATGCTTTTATGTTTGGTCTACGCAATTGTGCTCTTTTGGCTTAAAATCTCTGTGTCCTCATCAGCATAAGTTATGTCCCAAAGGCGAGGCTTGATTGAAATTCACGAGATGAAGGATGAGTTCTGTTTTCTTTTCCTCAGGCTGAGATTTTTCCAGAAAGTGAGTCTTTTGTTTGCCCAGAAAGATATGCTATAAAAAGGTGTTCGTGTCCATAAAGTACTGACAGTGAGGACTATCAGCAAATCACCTCTTCTTTTAGACAGAAGAAACTACAGAGATCCAACCTGGACAGCATACTTGAGTGACATTCGAGGCAGATTTTTATCACCTCCAGGAGTTTTTGTAATAGTGCGCGTATCTGTCCGTTTTGTCTTCCGAAAATCGATGTTATCCGTCCATCGGCTACCGTGCGCCAGAGAATCTCCCATCATGCTGCAGTGGTGGCCGGGCTTCCTGCCGGCTTCGCCTGGCTGAATACATCTCCGACGGCTTTCTTGTTTTCTGGCAGACTGATTTATCACGCCGCTTGTGCGGCTTCATGAGGGGCTGATTTATGAAGTCCAGCGACACTCGGGCTCGTGCTGTGGAAGGTTAGCACAGCGGGGTCCGTGATGGCTAACAGGAAGTAACACACTCGCATGGTAGAGGCCAGGCAGGAGGTGTTCCTCTGCTGCCCTCAGGTAAACCATTAATACTCTCCTGGGAACGGCGCCTCATTCTAATTCTGGGCTCGCCCGGAAGTGGTGGCCGGTTCCAGTAGCAATTTCCTGGTGTCACATGAGAAACCTCGTTTGAACTTCGATTGAACAAAATGAAGGTGTCATTCTTCTGACACCACAAAGACATATACATGTTCTGGACTGTAAACAGGCCTGCACTCATCTTGTGCAGGCCTGTTTACAGTCCAGAACATGTATATGTCTTTGTGGTGTCAGAAGAATGACACCTTCATTTTGTTCAATCGAAGTGCCCAGCTGCATTTGGCATTTATAAATAAACAGGAGAAATCCATCAGGAATGCAGCACAGGTACTATATCAAGCAGCTCTGTTCCTGAAACAAATCAACAATTTGCCTTTTGATTGGTGAGAGGGGCCCTGCTTGGTTTGCAGGCAACCCCTTCAGCTCCAGGTTTAGTCCCGCCCATGGCCCCTGTTAGTGTGATTTGTCTCTCTGGGGACACACTTCCCCTTGCACATAAATAAAGCCTTGAGCCAACAGTGCACTACACTGAACCCAGCCTCCAGGATGCAGCATTCTCCGATGCGCAAGCACCTGTCAGCCACACAGATTCTGAATCTCGTCCTTCACTGTACTAGGAGGATGTCCTTCTGAGCTGCTCGTAAATCGATAAATATTTTCCTCCTGCTCTGCTGCATCCAATCGTGTCCTACAATTTTATGGTGCGCTCAAAGGGCACTGCTGGCTTCACCTGCTTTTGGTCTGGATAGCACATCTAGGTCTGTTCTTCTCTCATCTCCTCCAACCTTTTGTTGTGTCATGCCTTGTTGCCAGGCAACCGTGCAAACGACATCACCTGTTAACTCGGGGAGCTGAACATCGCACACAGCTACGGAGACTCAAGAAAGGCAGATAGACTGAACACAGAAGTGGGATCACGGAAGAAATGTTCTGCAAGAAATGTTCTTGCAGAAGGACACTTAGGGAGACTCTCTTTTGTCCATCTTGGAGATGCTGTGGTTCTCCGTTTGTGTGACTATGGTTGTGACCTTGGGGTCAGCACCTTAACAAGCAGGGTGAGACAATTAGCTCCCGTCCCACTGCAGCACACCTCTGGGATTTTAACTGTCCCCACAAATCATGGCTAATGGGCTGACTGCAGTTCAGCGTAAATGATATGAATCCATTTCTTTGGACTCGTCCTGACGCTTGTTTTATAGGCTGAACTGGGATATTATTTAAATTCCAACCACCCATTTATTCTGCTAATAATATGGTTCCATCTATCTTAGAACGCAAGATGTTTATGTGGAAAGTATTCTGCTCATGTTGGTTGCGAGATTCGTTCTTTCATCGAAAGTAACCAGTGCTTTCTATTTGTAACTCAGTAGTGTAATTGTGCGTGAGCAGCCGGCACTTAGCCTTCGCGGGAACAGAAAGTTTTCTCTGCCAGTCACAACGAATCAGTCTGCGTTTGTGGGGCCTGGCCCATTAAAGACATAAAATCAGCAGCAATTAGCCAAAGTGGGAGGTATTCATTATCATGTACTTTCAGCCAGGAGAATTGGCCTTATATGACAGATTTGCTTTTTCCAACCCATTTATATGTAAATAAGATTGATTTCCAGCTGAGGACCTCACAACCCCCCCCCCCCCCCCCCCCCCCCCCCCCCCCCCCCCCCCCCCCCCCCCCCCC